TTGGGAAGACAGCTTGGATAGCCTGAGTTTTCCAGAGCTGCCAGCTACCTTCCTCAGTTCTTGGGTTTTTTTTCCCCCTCCTCTCCTCTGCACATCCCCAGTGGAGTATTTGCTTTGATCTGAAAAGACACTTGCCTCTGTCATTAAATGTTCAGTTGATAGCTTTGCGGCTGCTTCATTGTTTGTACAGCTATTGTAATGCATTCAGTAGTAGGTGAGCTTCTGGGTTAGTAAATCCAGGAGGGAGTGAGTGAAGGGTGAATTTTTCAGTAAAGCTACAGACATCTCAAACAATGTGGGTTATTACTGTTTCCATATCTTGTAACAGGGTCTTAGACTATATGTGCCACCTGGAGAAAGAATTGAGATTAGACTATGAACGCACCATGAACAAGATGATCTTTGACAGAGTCGTCGCTTCCAAATCTGAGACGTTTCATTATGTCACCCTGCCAGACAAAGAGGAAGAGAAAGCGCCAGAGAAAGGTATTGGACACTGAAGCAGTTTGAACTTGGCATGGTTATAGGAACTCTTAGGTATGTTTTAATGATTAGGTCTTATAAAGGGCAGCACCAGGAGATTACATGAAACCTTTGAGTACGTCTACTCTTTTTAGGGTGTATTTGCATGTTTGTGTTCCCTCAGTATAACACTTTACCATCCACCAGCTAAGTTGCAGTAACTCTACAAGTGTACCAGTAATGACACCAGATGCATGGCAGTGTAATTAGCCTAACTGCCTTCCGCTCTGCCCTGTGCTAGGCCTGGCTGCCTTCCATTTACTGTATTCAGCTGTGGCACACCTCAGGTGTGAAAGAGGGCTCGGGCTCTTTTAGAGTCCCAAACTGGAGGAAAATGACCACAAAAGATAGAGGGGGAGCATATTTTGTGTACTTTGATCTTCCAAAGGTTGGTATGCCTTGAGGTGGTTCACAAGGGGCCTCTTACAGATGAGTTGACTTTAGCTGTGCCTTGAAGCCTCAGTAGGAAAATTTTTCAAGTCCAATGTTTTTTCTTATGGAAATTTCCTGAGCCAAAGTCTCAGGAAGGTCAGGCACTAAGATGGTCCCTCAGTCCCTAGTGGGAGGCTGCAGAAGGTCTCTGCTGTGGAACAGAGACTCTCTTTCATCCAGGCATCTGCTGAAACTGCTACATGATAAGGCCTGTACATCAGAGAAAAGTCCTTTTCACAAGTTCTGTCCCAAAGGGAGCTGTACTCTTCCTTAAAGCTGGGATGTCTGTTTCAGGCAATAACGTGTTCTTTTGGGGTTTTTTTTGTGCCAGGACTCATCTGGATTGCAGACTATCCTTTTCATAAACAACAAGCAGATTTTAATTTTGTCTCGCTCCTGACCAGGCCAGAAGTCGTCCTTCTCCTTACACAAGTGCAAGCTGAGTGCAACAAGGCAGCCACCGTGTCTCTGTTTAACTTAACTTTAGCCAAGCATGTCTGCTTGGAGGAGTTTGAACAGATCCAGACCCAGACCTTCACTCAGGTGAGCAGAGGAAGCATTGGGGATGAACACATGGAACAGGCAGCGGAGCTGTCAGCGTCTATTAGACAGCTGCAGCAGCTGCAGATCGATATCCTGGGAATGAATGAGCTTTCAGAAGACATGGGGGTGGGACGGGGGAATTTGCATGTGCATGTCACATTTGTTGGGATATGGGGCATAATGGGCTGAAAGAACCATAGCTCCTTAGTTAGCATCAGCGGATGCTGGCTGTGCTTTTAGTCACGTTGAAACAGTGGCCACATAGGGTTACAGCACCTCAGTCCTCCTCCTAGTCTCCGTGGAGATAACGTCTCAGCTGGCACTCAGAAGTTTCCAGTATTTTTGTTTTTATTTTCCCATCCTTCTAGCTGCAAGTCACAAGAGCTTTGATTTCTCCTGAAGCGCTCATGGATGTAATGTTTTCTGCGTTCTCTGTTCTTTAGGTACTTAATTTAGTTACTCAGCTTGCAATGGCAGCAGACAGACTAGGAAAATTCAGCTCTCTAGTAACTCTTACCAGAAGAGCTTCATGCCCTCAGATGAGGGCAGCACATTACACCCTGGATGTGACCACATGGAATAGCTTGTGCAGGGTTACGTGGTAAATCAGTGGCAGAGGACATGTGCTGGTCCTTCGAGTCCCATGCTGTTTCAGCTAGCTAGTGCTGTCATCCACTCAGTGACTGAGGTTGGTTTATTACACACAAACAGCAGCTGCCTGTGGAGCAAAACTGACACTTGGTGGTATGAATAAATTAAAACACTGCAGACTGCTGCTGCCCTTGGCTTCTTCCCCTCTTTCTCCTCACTTGTCAAGAGAAGTTGACATTCTGCCTTTACTTGCTTCTCGTACTGTCTACACAGCTTTTTATGGGAGACTCTGACACAGGCAGCTCCAGGGAGAGCTCTGTAGAAAAGAGAACAAAAAGAAAACACTGAATAGAATAGAGCACTCCTGCTTTTTAATATCAGGCTTTCTTCTTGCAGGTCTTTTGTCAGTAAAGATGATGTATGGCCAGGTTCAGATGCCACGTGTGTGTGCATGGATGTGAGAGCTACTGTTCAGCTGCCACTGCTTGGAGAAAACCGTTGCCTTTCACAGCAGAGATAGGCCCAGCAGTCCCAGCTAGCAGCTAACCTTGCCATACTGCTTTGCCATCAACCCTTGGAGGATTACACAGGTCACTTTTTTTCTTTGCCCTAGGTTCAGACATTTCTCAAGGATACTTGGGTGAATGCTCTCAAGACTGTAGTAAAGAACAACCTGAAAGATGTGGGCAAAACCTGGTACAACCTGAAGCAGAACCACTGGGATACTTACCAGATGTCCAAACTGTGTAAGCTGATGAAGCGCATCAGATTCATGCTTCAGGAATCTCTGCGGTGTCTGGTCCAGAACTCACTGATCAGCTTCACCCGGCTTTTGCTGGATGCTTGTCGTGGTATCCTGAATTGCTCAAAGGACATGGAATGGGGAGATGACCTCGTGAATAGTCCCTACAGGTAAGGAAGAGAGAGAAAAAAAGAGTGGAAAGAGCAGAAAAACGTAGTGCTGTTTTCTTTCTAATACTGGTTTTGCAAAGCAAGCTGTGCACTCTCTGTGGGACTTCTGGTTGGGCTGCTTCCCCCAGTCCTCTGCCTGACACACTTGTGTGAATATGGAAGAGTGACACACAGCTGGCTGCTCTGTTAGAACAGATTTCAAGTTGCTGTTAGTGATATGAGGCAGCCCATTAGTTCCAAGGTTTACTACTTTGACGTACTTTTCTAAACATTAGCCACTTCCAGCATTCTTGGGGGAGCAAATAATTAGTACTAGATTTTCTGTGGAGACCAGGAAAAAAGAATACCAGGAGGCATGGCTGCTTACTTCTGTTCTTGGATCAAGCCACAGGAGTAATACTAAAATATACCGAATTTGGGTTCTCACAGTGCTTAGTATTTTCTTGTTGGGTACCGATTTAAAGATTTCTGTCCTTTATGGTATTAAAAAGGAAAGGTTTAGGAGTTGAAAACAAGAAGAAAATAAATTTAAAAACCCAACAAACATGCCATTCATTTGAGGCCTTTTACCTTGAAATCAGTGTGAGTCTTCACACTGACTTGAGCTGATCTTGAGCCGTGATGGTAGCATACAAGATTGGGAGATACTGAATAAAACTTCCAGAAGGTGTCTTTTAGGGGTTTATTGGAGATACTGAATGCCTGGTTTGAAGAGCATCTTCAAATTTTCTGTAAAGCAGCTCTAATTTCCAACGTAAGGTTGTGACTTTTGGAGATCCTGGTATGTCATGATTGACACTTCCTTCACCTTTGGGAGATAGGAGTTTTCAGTGTCTTTACTGGGAAATTCAGAATGCAGTGTTTCATACCTTCAGCCACATCAGACAGTTCTCCTCAACTCAGCTTTTCTTTCCTGTCTGGCAGGCATTTTAGTAGCAGCACCAGAGCAATACGATTATGTGCCGTTGTCTCAAAAAGCATCCCTGTTCTTCCTTGTCTCTTCCCACTGCAGGCCCCTGAGGAATCCACTCTTTTTAACAGACCTTGTGCTGGACAGCAGTGGTGTTCACTTCAGCCCACCTGTGGAGAGCTTTGAGAAGTCCCTCATTTCTCTGTTTGACCAGGGAATCCTGATGACTCACACAGTCCCACAGCTGGAGAAGGTGAACTCTTCTGCATCAACAGTGGTATAACTGTGCAAGTCTCAGTGCATTGCAGCTTGGCAGAGACACCCCTAGGCTTATGCTGAGGGAGAGAGTTGCTAGAAATAGGTAGCTGGGAATGCAGTTAAATTAATTTGGGCTCATCATTGTGCTAATCTGACAGGATTTCTTCAAGCTCCCCAACCCTGCACCTATTTTACCAGGTTGCTCTCTCTGCTTTGGTGCTGCAGGTTCTGTGGAGTCAAGTCCTGAGTAGCCCGGCAGCTGGTAACGGCAGACTCATAAAGGCAGTAGCACCTTTTCCGGTGCTGTCGGTCTGATGCAGATCTCTTCTGTATATGCATTCTTTTGCCTCTTACTATTAAAGACTTATGTTTCTCGATCCTCCTTCTTTGAGGGACAACATAAAACTGATAAAACAATTCTTGACACAATGCGGAAGGATGGACTGCATGAATTTCCAAAGGTGCCGCTGGTGATTGTCTCACCCCTCTCCTGAGGAGGTGTGGTTGGTTACCTCTGCTAGTCCTGAAAGACCTCTCTCCTTCCTTTTCCAGTATGTGTTGGAGAACATACCTATCACTGACACACCCTTACTGCGCTCAAGGGGCTTGCACGAGCCAGAAGTGGAAGAACTACGCGAGGCTCTGCGGTCTGCCATTCAAAAGGCACTGACCCCTCTCCAAGCTTACGCCAAGAGATACGAGAAGTTCTTGGAGCTAAATAACAATGACGTGCAGTACTTCCTAAGGCAAGTGGCTTCTGACAAAGGCACCTTTAACCCAAACTGCAAGCCTTTTCAGAAGCTGTTGTGCGGATGCATCTGAGAATGGGGGACCTGTTCTGAGATCACAAATGGGGGGACATGCCTCAGATGTGAGTCAGGCGTCCATCAGAGGCAGCCGGCAGCCATGGGCAATGGACCATGCTTTTAGGAGACATTGCTGGTGGCAGTGATAAGTTCTTCCTGCCTCTGACAGCAGTCACATTCCTGTCATATTTATAAGTGTAATTGGAGATATTAATGGCTCTAAAAATGACTCATCCTGTTTGAAAATCCAGTTAGCATACTTGACTCTGACCTCTTTGAAATAGTAGCTGTTCCAGCTGATAACATTCTGTATAAAGCAACATTTTCTTTTGTTTCAGCCTCATTGTTTTCATTGGCAAAACTCTTTGCACCTATGCTCTCCGTTAGACTCTTACTTTAATGGTTGTCTTTTTAGGCCTCACATTTTCCCAAACAGTGGGAATGAAGCACTTCTTCTCTTCTGTTTTTCTGACTTAATCAATTCATAAATCCCACCTGACAAATTCCAGTCTCTTCCCAGAACACACAGAAGTGTATGCCTTCCCCCACATTTTCCCAAACAGTGGGAATGAAGCACTTTTTCTCTTCTGTTATTCTGACTTAATCAATTCACAAATCCCACCTGACAAATTCCTGTCTCTTCCCAGAACACACAGAAGTGTCTGCCTTCCCCAAAAGGGCCTCTTGATCTTGCCCTGTTTACACCAGCGCTTACATTTTGTCTCTCCCTCTTCTCTTGCCTTATTGCTTCTTTCATCTCTTTCTTCCACTCCTTCCGCAAAAATATTTTGTGCGCTTATTCCACTGCACACCTATTTTGCTTTACCCATTGTAGATTTGAGTCTGTCCCTTCCCTTGCCCCTCAGTCATGTTCCTCAGCTACATATTAGCACTAGGTCTTCTCGTACACACATCTTCCGAAACTGGGGCTGCATTGCAGGTGGGCATAGGCAGCCTGGCTTCCTCTGCTTGGCTTTGGTAACTGTAGCAGAGAAAACACTGAAGAAGAGCCTTCAGTGCAAAGTAGACAGACTTTACATGGGATGTCTCTGTGTCTGTAGCTTCCCATGCTCGGTTAAAGCTAGCACTTATGTACTTGACTGTGGTAAAAACACTCCTCACTTCCTCTCTATATTTGGTTGTAAGGTCTAGAAGGCATTAATACCCTCTCAGTCTGTGTCTGCAGGAAGTTGTCTACATTCAAATATATGCATGTATTACTAACAGTAAATATACTTGTTCTTAAGGTAATGTCTTGATCCTTTGGGTGGACATCTCTGGACATCCTACAAAACAGCCTGGATGCTCAAAAAATCTTAAGCTCTGTTACCTTTTTTTTGTTGGTATTTTTATTTACAGAGACTATGAAGAGCAATGTCCATCTGCCCAAAAGGTGAAAAGTATAGTAAACATGCACTTATCTGAAAAGGAGCACTTGGACAAGAGTCTGCCTAGTTCTATTGTCATTGGTCCCTTCCATGTTTACACGGAAGGTGTTAAGCAAAATCTGTCCAAAAAATACGAAGCACTTGCTACTTCCATGTTGGATATGCTGGCTAAAACCCTCCATTTGCGGGTGAAGAATGTAAGTTACCTGGTTCAACAGATCATCTGTCAGTGTCATCCTGTCCTTCTGCTTATGAAGTTGCTGTGTGTATGAAATGGCCAAAAGACAACAACTGAGGCCACATTAATGAAGACATTTCTAAAGATTGCATGGAATGATTGTTTAGAAGTACAACTGGAGGGGAGATATACAGACTTAATCAAATCAAGTATTAAATGTACTTAATAATTTATATGCCTGAAAGCTGTATTTCTTGAGACAAAATTCTTCAAGACCTTGCCATCTTATAAAATTGTGTTGGTGCATTGAAAAGATCTGCCTAGTAGACAACAGGAAGGTCCTTCTGCTTGTTCTGAGGAAAACTAGAATATAGAAAATTGAATCTGCCAGAGGGTTGTCTAAGTCTGTTGTTGTCATAATTTCAACTACATACCTGCGCTTCCTCTTCGTCTTTCTTTGGTAGTCTCATTCTATATGAGCTCAAATGAAATGGATGGAGAAAGACTGTGGAAAGAAAAAAACGGAACAGGACTATGTACTGATCGCTTTAGGCCACCTTCAGAGTGGGAAGTGGGTGGATCATGGCAGGTTTTCCAATCTGCTCATTAGCAATTAATGACGTTGTGATAGTCTTTCCTCTGCTGTGTCCTCCTGCAGATCTGTGATGCGTATAATGCTGTCAGCTGCAGAATGCAAGAGAAACCAAATACCATTGAGGATCTGGCTGAGCTGCGGGAGTGGATGAAGGGAGTCCCCAGGCAGCTGGCTGGGCAGGAGGTAGGGCACGCTCTTCTTACAGACAAGGGACACCTAGGAAGATGAGGAGGAAGATTGTCAGTGCAGTGTATGTTGTCTAGCTTTGTATTTTTGTAATTCCTCAGATTTGCTTTTTTAAATACACATATAGCAAATTTAAGTATCTATGAAAAACAGAATAGCAGTTAAAAATCTTGCCTTGGAGACTTATATATGCTTGTCACTACCTTCATGATCCATTCCACATTTATGTACTGAATAGCTGTCTTCTAAAAATGGAACATTGTTTTCAAGAAAATATTTCTGCAACCAAATGCTCATATTGCTGTTAATGTATTTTTTTCAAAGTGCCGACATTCTAGTGCTGAGTTATTTCAAAATTATTTGAAGTGTAGAACTTTTCCCAGCTGAACAAATGGGGAACAAAGGCATCAAGCTGTAAGCTGCCTTGTCCATGCCGAGGAAAGAACCTGGAGGATAACCCAAAATACTCAATTTCTTTCCAGCACTTTATCCACTAGGTCACACTTCTTTTCATTCATATACAACAGAGGGTGATGATGGTGTGTTCATTCGCAGAACAAGGGGTTATAAATCCATTCCCATTGTTGACACAGCAGAGAAGCAGCCTATGTTACATTAAGCTTGTCTGACTAACACTCTTCAAAGGCACCTCATAAAAATGAGGTATAGACCAGAGACTTGTAATCAGTATGGTCTAAAGGTGTCTATTCTTTGTCTCTTTCTCTCACCGTGTGCAGGAACTGATTCGTGAAGTCATGAAAGACTACGACGTCTTGGAGGAGTTCTTTTATGTTCTTACCGATGAAGATTTCAGTGACAAGTGAGCACAAGGCATCTCTCCCACTGTCTAAGTGGGACACTTTGCAGCAGTTACCATTCCCAGTGCTTCAGGGGCTATGTGTCTATCAAAGGCTCCAGCAGAACATTTCAGACTATATGAGCACTGAATTCTTGAAGTTTATAGAGAAGTGTGGGTTCATGCTGCCTCCTGGCCTGGGGCAAGATGAACTGGTAGCTACTAACCTGTTTAACGTATTAAAGCTCATTTCTCTCATTTTTTTGGAGACATTTGCAAGGTCTCAAAGTGCACAGTTTAATCTGTGTCAGAAACTGAATGCACACTTCCAAGGTGGGAAAACTCCCAGGATTTTCTTAGGATTAGGAAAGAACATGCAGACTGCATGCAGTCTCCTTGTAGTTTTATCTTTGGCTATGTTACTCAGATTGGGGCCTGGCTATGTCCCAATAGCAGAGTCAGCTCACAAACGTGACTTCTAAAGTCAGCTCAGCCCTGGACACCGGGTTGTAGGCTTGGTCCAGTGTGCCTGCAACCTGAGTGAGTCTCTGCAGCGTGCTTCTGAACCTAGAAACGTGCCATGCACAGTGCAAAAAAAAAAACCCACAGAAGCTGCGGGAAAACAGCTCAGCTCTAGGACGGTTTAGCACAGATGTAGCTGTATGCTTGCTCACCAGTCCTGGAACATGCAGAACTTGCTGCACCCCCAGGCGCTGGGAGGGATGTGACCTCGAGTGTGACACTGCAAAGCTTGCATGTGGCATTGCCCACAGGCTGGCAAGTCCAAATGGAGTAAGGGCTGGGCTGCGGCTGAGCAAGAAGCTAGAAACCTGCCTTGGCGTGAGCAGCCGCTTTGTGAAGCCTTGCTATGCAGGGCCTCCCTGTAGCTGGGTTACTCTGGCCCCCCCGCTACCCTGCTTAACAGGAGACTGGCTTTTTCTGTAGCCCTGAAAAGCCACAAGCCAAGACTCTAACCCCTTTTTTTTTTGTAGTTCCTTGTGAATACATTCAAAGACAGACATTCCCTCTGGATGCCAACTGTTATTTTGCTGTCTCCTAGCTTTTCAGCAACTTACTGGATTTGTTCCTTTTAAAAAGGCCCTCCACTTCTCCCCAGCCCTTTCCATTTGAATAGCCTAGTTGCAAGGACTGCATATCAACAAGAAAAGCTGGAAAAAAAAGTTTTGTTGAAACCACATGTGCTTCTGTTATTGTAAAGCTTCCTTATTTGGTGGGAGTTGACTTTCTCATTCTGTTATTTTCAGCATTACAAACTCAGCTCAAAAAGCTTCTCTCTCTCCTCTTGTTTTCTGGGGGGTTTTTAGGGTTTTTTTTGGCTTGCTTCTTTCTTGCTTTCTTTGTTTATTTGTTATATCATGTGAGTGCAGGTGGGCTGCGAGTTTCTGGCCAGCAAAATTAACTATGCAAACTGAGTCCATTTTGCTGCAGCACCTGGAGGATGAAGACAAATTTCGCCGGATCCATGTCGTGGATCAGAACAGCCTTCAAAAAAATCTGGAAGAGATGGAGGTATTAAGCCACTGAAAACAAATTGTCCAGAGAAGAGAGCCTTGAAGCTCTTATAGTCAGCCAGGTGGGATCAGTTGAGATTTTAGTCAGATGGGGTTTTAGGTTAGTGTATTGTTGGGCCAAAAATCATTGAACACCTTCCTGTGTTTTGTTGCTTTTTGGTTGAGTTTTTTTTCTGAAGTTGGGCTTCTCTTTAAGAGTTTCATTTTTGCGTGGAAGACAATACTCTGCCAAAATACTAATTTTTCACTAGGAAGATGTTCGGCAAGATATGATACTCCCATTCTTGGTGCTCGGGCAACCCATGCACCTCCTTTTTCTTTCTTGGGTACTCGTTTTCCTGCAGAGCATCTCCCATGATGTGCTGCCATCAAGGGGAAATATACCGCATTCAATCATGGAGCTTATCCTGTGTGAAAGACCGTGAAACAAGAGCAGAGCTTTGGAGCTGAGATACCTCTGGTTTCTGCTGAAACAGTCTGAATTTTGTTTTTCACTAGAAACTCTTAAATACAGGAAAAAAATTGCCATCTTGGAAAGGCTATAATAGGTGATCTAGATTATCTTGGAAATAGCCTCCCAAAACTGTAATACCACAACACTGGATTAAGAAAAAAAAAAGGCAAAAAACACACAAAAATATTGAAACAAACAAAACCAAACCACCAAAACAAAACATAAATATTGTTAGAGCAGCTCTAGACATGTGTTGCTAAACAATTCTTGGAAACAGACTGAGTAACCCAGTAGAGCTATCGTTTTCACTTCACTGATCCTGTAACAAATGACAGTATAAATTTAGTAGCAAGAAATTTGGACATAGATTTATTGCTGCTACTCCTCAGGGATTAACTATTGTCACAAAGATGAAAAGCAGCAGTGGTCATCACATTTGGACTTTCAGCCACCTGACCAGTGGTTATTGCTTCTCCTCACCACTTTCATTATGGTCTAAACAAAAGTGGAATTGGATTTGGGAGGTGAAATGGTAAGCATAGAAATCTTGCATTTGAACGTGACAAAGAGCACACCAGAGGCAGTACTCAGCTTCAGAGCCCCATCTCATATCTGCCTTTTCTCTTCCAGCTGATTGTAGGTGGATTTTCCATCCGTGGAGACATTAACCAAGCTCACGAGTTGGCTAACAGCACAAGGGAGGTCAGGAAGGAACTGAAGAAGCTTCAGAATTTGACAGTTCTCTATAACAACAGGGAAAGAATCTTTGGGATGAAAGTTATTGATGTAAGTGTCAGGTCCTATATCTACAGGACACTAATCTTTGTTGGACTGTATAAGTGGTAGGTGGAGCAAAGAACAAGACGTAGTTCCTCAGGAAGGAATCCATCATGCTCTTTTGGTTTATCTGATGAACTCCTCCACAGTCCTGTAGTGACCACATTGCTCCATCACTCCACTGTGCTGCAGAAGAGCTGATCCCAGGCAAATTTTGGATGGCTGCTCATGGGCCACTTCTTTGAGAGCCTTCGGGTGCCCAGACTCAGATCTGAATGATGCTAATGAGGAGTAATTGGTTGGGAAGCGTGTTGAAGCAGCAGTCAAGATGCATCAGTTTCTGTAAGGCTGTCGCTGCAGTTACGTAGATGTGAATGAGAGTGGTTGCATAGCGCTGTGCAGGCAGCTGGCTGGGCTCCAAGCCTAGCATGTTCTCCTAAGGCAACAGTTTATAGAGTTGCAAATGCTGATTTGCCTGTAACTGTTCAGCTGCCAGTGAGTCATTGTCATCTGTGTCCAGCCTCGTCTGGCTAACGAGCAGAAGTGGAGTTCACATGATCCTTTCCTGCCTCTCAGTCTATGGTTACTTCTCCTTAACTGTAAGGAGCCAAGTTTCCAGATGATGTGCAGTCTATACTTTCAGTGGCTGTGCGTGAACTGCCCATCAGGATCAACATGTTCTGCAGCAAAGGGTTTGTAGAGGCAAGTGGAGAGAGTGCTTTCCATGCCAGACACCTGGCACAGGCACGGCTCGACTGCCTGCGTTTTGGCTTGAATGTGTAAAGCCCAGTCCTGCTGGTTGCTCTCTCTTGGAATCTATGTTGTGCTCCCAAGAGAAGGTGGTCTGATACATCTTCTTGAAGTATATGATTTCTCACTGTTTCCTTGAGATTCAGAAAAGAGTTGTGCCTTTTTTTCTCCTTTTGACGTGCAAACTGTCATCCAGAGGAGAATACACTTGTTGCTTATCCTTGCTTTTTCTCTGTTTCTGAAGTACAGCAAGGTATCCAGTGTGATTAAGGACTTGCAGCCATACTGTGATCTCTGGACTACTGTGTTAGACTGGATGCACTGGCATGAGAGCTGGATGAATGATCCTCTTGTGGAAATTGAGGCTGATGAAGTAGAAAAGAATGTCAGTGAGTCTTTTAAGACCATGAAAAGATGCGTGAAGCAGTTCCAGGATTCACCAGGTAGATACATGGTCTGGGGAAAGCAAGTTGGTGCATGTCAGCATTTTCATATGAGGTGTCTTACAGAGTGCTCTCAACAGGATGTCACATGTATGTGTTGTGTGTATTAGAGCCCACTGAGAAAATGCTAGCAAAGTTATTCCCCACTTTTTTTGCTGGAACTAAGATGATTCACATCTAGATGCTAGTTTTCTGCTTGAAGGACCAGTTTGGCATGGAAACAACCAGGCTACAAATCCTTTTTATACCCGTTTCCAAAGATAGTACTGAAATAGAAGCCACCCTCTTATGCTGCAGTTAATATTTACTCATTTATATAAAGTAAAATAGTCCACACTAGTCACAGAGAATTACTATATAGCCCAGTGGCTAGACATGTGGGCTTAAACTCTTAGGCAAGTCAGGCAGCAAAGGAACTTATATCTGGGTCTTGCAGGTGCTGTTTTCTTGGCCAGTCTTATTTTCTATTGGCCCACCCCCGGTGTCACACGAATTTAATGGAAAGCCAGAAGAGATCTTGGTTTTGTTATGGATAAAACGAAATTGCAAAATTTGGAAATGATCTGTGGAATGTAATAACCATTTTTGTGCCTGCTTGAATGTGTATGAAGTTTAAATGATCACATCCCCAGCCCTTGCAATTCACATGCACGTCTTTTAATTATGGCTCCTAGTAAAACTGGAATTGAGACTCCAGTGGTAGCTTAACCTCCCGTTCCACAATTTCAGAGATATGTTGGTCATTCTTTAGAGCTAATTCTAAAATCTCCTGCCAGATGGTTTAGATTGAAATATATTTTGCAGTGGGAGATTTTTGATTCATCCCTTTTAACTTGAACTTGCTCTTAAACAATGCCATGAATCAGCCCCAATGGAGGAGGTGATGAGTGGATGCATGAGTAACTATGAATCATTATGGTAAACAGAAAAACTAAGAATACCTGCTCACGCTCATTGCAATATTCCCTGGCACCTGGTAAAATATGTGCTTCGTCCTTGAGTCTGCCTTGACTTTGCATACCACCCAACAGGGAGCGTGACGTGGTGACGTCCTTGCTGTGAGTGTGCAGTGCAACCACACAGGGTGCAGTAAAAGGAGGCACGTGTTGTACCCAGATTTTAGAAAGGAGTCAAGCCCCACGTTCTTTGCTTTACTCACAATAGAACAAGCTGAAAAAGGGGAGGATGTGAACAGTGCGGAGACCTGGGCTGCCAGGATGCCCCCAGAGAGCAAAGCCCTTTCGTTGAATTTATCCTTCCTATGAGGCAGAAGTACCTTTGGCTCCAGTGTGGCCATAAGCGTCTCTCCTGCCTGCTTTCCGTTTCTGTAGTTGGCCATGACCCTAGCCTACTTCTAGCTCGTATGTGTAGTCTCCATCTTTTATGTAGTATGATCTGAGCTGGGGCATGAGATAACTTGCACCCTAATCTTGTTAAGGAAGTGAAGATCTTGGAACAATGACCAGAGCTTCTAAAATATCTATTGGCAGATGGAGCTTCATCATGCTTTGGCCCATATTAAGGAATTAAATTTTCTTGCTTCTTCTCTTCCGGTGAGCTCTAGGCCAAGGCAAACTTCTGCTTAGCATGGGCTTACCTGTAACAGACTTTTGTCTAATAGGCTTCTGGGAGCGGGCTTGTAGCCAGGTGGAGAGAGCCTTTGTGTCCTCATTGCTTCAACCTGCATTTTCCAGCATGCTTTTCTGCTGCATACTTGCCCCATACCATGTGTCTGCAAACCCATCAGGCTTTAGACAACTTCTAGGAAGTTCCTTAAGGGAAATTCTTCACACGCTGTTGTTGATGTTCTTTTTTTTTTCCTCTGAAAGTCTGCCAGGGTGTGGCAATGGAGTTTCAAGAGAAGATTGAAGAATTCAGACTATACATCCCCTTAATTCGAGGACTGTGCAATCCTGGCATGCGAAGCCGTCACTGGGAGATGCTGTCAGAAGAACTTAACATCGATATCAAGCTAGAACCCAGCCTGACCATTGGTCACTGCTTGGACATGAAACTGCTGGACCATATCAATAGCATTACCAAAGTAGCTGAGATAGCTGGCAAGGAATACGCCATTGAGAATGTGAGGAGAGAAGGACTTGCTGTGTCTTTAGTTGCTTCTCAGATTTCTGTTAAGCAGGCAGTTATTGCCTTGGGTGATATTTCTGTTGTCCCAGAGCATTAGGCACATCGTGTAACACAAGTAAAAAGGCTGCTGCCCGTAGAGCGGGGACCAATGGCCGTGCAACTTAGTTCACCCACTAGAAGTATTTCGCCTTGCAAAAAATTTCAGTTGTAGCATAACAGCACTGCCTGATGGTTATGCTGATGCACTGATTGGGTCTTGTACTTCAATATGGGATTAGTGACTGTGTGAGTTAAAATAAATTGATTGTCTGCATTTGGCCCATTCTAGCGTTGTGTCAGGGAGATTAGCTGCGCCTGGAAACAGAGGTGGCAAACCCTTTAACACAGTAAATGGGCAGGGAAGACTTGCTGGCGCTGGAGGTTCATAGGTTACATAGTCTTTCAGCTTCAGCTCAGCAGTTCAGATGTGACCCAAGATGGTCTTGATTGAAAGTCGTTACCTTTTGGCAGCTTTCATTCTCTGAAATCTCAGGCGAGTTCTCCTTTCACAAAGCCATTGTTAACTATAATGATGAATAGGTGCTTTGCTGGCAGCCTCTGTGCATCTAGTAGTATGAATGGATCTGGAGATGAAATTGCCCTTTTTTCCCCTCAAGGTGTTTCTTTCAGGACAGTGTTGAGATGTTGAGTCCATGGGCAATGCAGAGGAAACGTGCTGTTGCTGATTTGTCATGCATTGAATACACAGCTTTCAGTGGAAACCAAGAGCAAAAATCTGTCACGTGCTAGAGAGGGACATTAAGAGAGTTGTGGAGCCTGGGGTAACCATTGCACGGGTTGTATCTGAGAATTAAATTGCCTGTCCTTCTGTTCCAGGCACTCAATAAGATGGAGAGTGAATGGAACTTCATTTTATTTACTGTGACACTTTACAAAGACACGGATACCTTTATTCTGAAAAACACTGATGAAGCTTCTCAGCTCCTACGTGATCACATTGCCATGATTCAGAGCATGTCCTTCTCACCGTTCAAGAAACATTTTGAGGAAAGGATGAACATGTGGGAAAATAAGCTGAAGATGACACAGGTATTGGTTTCCTACCTGCACACGTGTGAATGCAGGCAGCTGGTGTGGGCTTTCATGCTTGAACATGGACACTGCAGTTGGTGCTGGGGAACCTTGAGGACAATGATTCATTTATTTATTGTGGGATTTTGGCTGCCTTTCCTACCCTGCCTCTCCTACCCCTTCTTTTGGTTGCAGTCCTTTCTGTCACTAAAGGCCCATGAATCTGCTTCTGTGAAGTGGCTTGTCAGGGTTAGCTGATGGAGTAGTGCAAACACCAGTGCCTGTGTTACTGGAAAACCTCACCTTTTGCTAGGTTGATGGCTGTCTCTGCTCAGGGTATGATAGATAGCTCTGTGTGACTAAGGTGCTCTGAAAGGCAGTCAAACACTTGAGCTGCTTTGCGATGTTGGGCAGGTTCCCCATACCTTCCAATCTCCCGTGCCTGAAAATGGAGGAGGATGTTCTTCCAACCTAATTGTATTGCTCCTTTGAATGCCTGACAAATGGGGTTTCCTGTCTGGTGTCTGACTTAAATGTTTAGCTTTGCATTCATTCTCTTAATTCGGAGTGTTGTTCAAAGCTCTTTTCATGGATTATTCTGTATGAAGGCCGGAGCTGAGGTACATCAGGCAGAATTGCAGAGTGTGGCATATTTTATTTGTTATTCTTCTTCCCCCAAGAAGTTCTTTTCACAAAGTAAAATCCCCATCTTATTGTGTCCTCACAGTATGCTATCTTCTGTAAAATACAGAAACACTAGGCACAGACATTTGACCTGGCACCACAAAGTCCCTTCGAGCTTTGGTATTGGTTTACACATACTTCTAACTATGCTCTTAAATTAGTGGGTGTTGATTCTGATGCCTGTTGACAACAGTTAGCAAAGGGAGTTGCTGGGAAATTTTTTAATTATTTGGCAAGGAAATTTTAGCTCCTGATGCTGCAAGTAGATTTTAGAATTGTAGAAGGTCTAAGTGCAGCATCACCTCTTTTTTTCTTTTTCTTTTTTTTTTTCCTAAACCCACTCTGGTGCACAGTTGAACTGTTTTGTCAACAAAGTTCATAGCATGGTATCCTGATATGCTCTTCTTGCTTTCCACTAGGATGTCCTAGAGGAATGGCTGAACTGCCAGTGCTCTTGGCTCTACTTGGAGCCCATCTTTAGGTCAGAGGACATCAAAAGACAGCTTCCATTGGAAAGCCAGCAGTACCACACCGTGGATGCAGACTGGAGGAGCATCATGAAAAACGCTAATGAAAACCCTAAGGTGTGTGACTTGGCAAAAGCCAATGCAGGTATCAAACTCCTTGGAGCTGTGCTCACACAAGGACTGCTTTTGAGTGTTTGGTTTTTTCCTAATAGTGTAGGCTCAGCACTGTATAAACCATGGAACCTTGGCCAGGGCAGTGTGCTAGATTTCTTCTCTTGAAACCTTTTGTTCTGGTGCCCAAATGACAGAGTCATTCCCTGTGATGCATTGCACCAACCTGTCCACCCCATCAGATACCTTCTCCTCAGCACACAAACTCCCTGCCTCCTACGACCAGCCCTGCTATAATTGCAACCCATAAGATAAGTCCTTTGATTCTTCCTCAAGGCTGACTCCTTGAATTGTTTAGAGCCATTGTTTTCACCTCATTCTGTGTCCTGGTAGCAGTGCTCTGCATTCTTCTGTTCCCCAGTCTCCATTTCCCAAGACTCCATCACCACTTGTATTCCATATTACAAACGTTGGTATTTAGGGGAACAAATGTGCTTGTCACATCCATAAGCACTGTTTCCCCTCCTTGCCCACAAAGCTCACACCTCTCCAGATCCCTGTGAAAGTACTCCTGTGAATGAGTCATTTCAATCTTACCAGTAACATCACTGGGCAACCCAATTATCTCCACTGCCTTATCTCCCACACGCTCAGAATACTGATGCTTCCTCTTGTTCTCCTTCTGTTCATAGGTGATTTCCTTGTGTCCCGATCCTGTGTTACTAGAGAACCTGCAAAATTGTAACAAACTACTCGAACTTGTGCAGAAGGGGCTGAGTGAATTTCTGGAGACGAAGAGAGCCGCATTTCCCAGGTAACCCCGAACTGCAGTGAGCTGGATCACACTGCTTGGTTCAAAAAATGTGAAAAGAAAGGCTCGCTCCAGTTCATTCTGCCAAGAAAGAGCAAAACAATCTAAGCTTAGGATATTGTCATGACACTGCAAACATAAGCAAGGCTGCGCCTTTCAATGCTGCCATCTGACGGGGAGAAAACAGACAGACACAAATGGTGTGAGTTATGGGCGGTCTGGTAGCACGGATGCATATCTGTGCCTCAGGATTTACCTAGAAAGGACAGGGTAAAATGAAGACCTCCATGTAGCTCTGTCCCTTTTTCCTGAAGGAATACTTCTGTTCTTTGATACTCATTTAAGCCCACTTTGTGGGGAAGTAACTGACCTCTGCAGATGGAGTAGTGTATTTCTACAGAAAGGTGGATGATTGGACTGTGACTGCTACTCTCTCATGCAAATACAAAGAGATCAGTGATCAGGCAGAAAATATCTCTGGCAATAGCCTTGTTCCTCATCTTGCCAGGACTTAGCCCCTGATGCTATGGTAAAGAGAGCATCCCCTGATGCCTTGCTCTATATTTTTAGGTTCTACTCCCTTCCAGATGACGAGCTGCTGGAAATACTGTCTCAGACAGAAGACCCCACTTGCTGTACGACTTCACCTCCACAAATGCTTTCGGAAGATTGCACAGGCAAGCAAAGCAAGAGTGCTACTGGCTTGGTTCACCTTTGCGAAGCTAGTGCATAAAACAGAGAATTAAACATGGAGTAAAAATTAAAACAAAGCAAAGTGGAGGGGGTGAATGTGACAAATATTGATAATTTGCAAAACAATAAAGTGGGGAAAAACCCATAGCGAGAGTGCTCAGGCCCAAACCACACACATGTTCTGGGCTGGGGGCACAGAAATCCATTTTCTTGCTGTGTACGCAGACCCTAATTCCAACAGCGAAGCAGCATTGCTGAGACACCACCTGTGAACTGCGTAGAAGTCACGATGAACGTGGAGGTGATAGCCACCCACATAATATTTGCTCTAACAACCAGAGCTTCACTTGTTCTTCTCAGTATGGCTCGCTTACTTTGGCGTTGTGATTGTGATTTGTGTAATAGACAACCTTACTTGTTTTGGAGCTGTTTTCGTAGACGACCACCTTCTGAGTCCCTAGAGCCGCAAAAATTCTTAAACTTGGCCTGGGACATGTTTTAGTTTTGTTAAATCTGTTTAAAGTTAAATACATTATAACTAAATAGTTAATATTGTTAATGTTATAGTTAAATATTGTTAGTATTGTAGTTCAATATTGTTTAATATTGTTCAACACTGTTTTGATTGTAGGAGACGGGCAGGAAGAGAGCACTGCATGCAAGGACGCTGCGCATCGCTACGGTGCTAGAAAAGGTGAAGAACATTGGTTTTGAATTTCTGAAATTATTGTTTTGTTGCTTTTCATTGTCTAGAAAAAGATATTGTTAAATAAACTCGTTAAGTAGTTAGTGTTAAATATGTTATGTCATTGAGTTATTGTGGTTTGTATGAATAAGTTGTTAAACTAGTTGGCTGGTGTCATTTCACCTTAATTTAGTCCAAGGGTATCTTGTACTTGGCTGTAAGTCCAAAGGGGAGGGAGGTTGTCCCACATCGCTCCTTTCAGGCCACACCACCACCATTGGGTTGCACCGGTTGGGCCACGCAAGGCCAGTCTTCAAACCCACCTGGGATTCCACACGTAGCGGTTGGTAAGGTTAAATGAGTTCTCTATCACTGGTCTTAGATTTAAAAATCTATACAATTACAATATAAAGTTAGTAATATCAATAATAGTTTTGTGGTGACAATATCCTCTTTCGTGTCGATCTTCATATCCAGTTGCCTGAGTAGTGTCTTCTTCCAAGTGGACCATGGTGATAGACAGGTAAATACAGTCGCACAGGATCTGTAAAACAACATGGTATACCTTCTAGTTATTCTCACAAATAACAGTTGCAGGGACATATTCCCATTTCTCTTTCCCGGGTTTCATGATTAGAATGGTATTATCTTTCCCTGTGGCTATTACTTCTGCTGGTTCAGGAGGGCTGTTTTGTCTTTGAACTCGTATTATAGTTCCATTCTTAAAACTGGTGGATCCAAGCCCTTTATCTCCATGAATGGTGGTGACTTGAGGTGGATTCCCTTTTCTGACAATTGTTTTCACACAATTTGTTGTGGCAGTATCAATAGTAGTGCTATTCTGTCATGCGGTTGAATAATCAAATCTTGTTCAACATTGTTTGGCAGAATTATTTTTATTTCTCCCTGATAATTTGCATCAGTCACACCTCTCATGACATGAACACTCTTCAGGGCTAGGCTCGAGCGGGCAGTTATCAAACCAAAGCATCCTGGAGGAATCGAATTCCTATTCTGGTGTTGGTAACTCATTTGTTTCTGATTAATTCTGATAAATTCCAGTGTATAGAGACCGAGCCCTGCAGCTGCTGGGGTGGCCCGGTAGGGGGCCATTGTACCCGGGACAATTTCCCGGTAAGTCAAAGACTCGCTGTTCAAGGCAGTGTCTGCAAATGGGGTGTCGTCTTGCACATCGAGAGGGTCTCCATTTCCCCGATGGGCCTGTTGTTAAGAATATGTAGCACATCTGTGAGTTGGGTTCTCCACCGGGACAGGTTCACATCTCCCAGTTTTCTTAATTGCTCCTTCTGTAGCCCAGTCAGCTGTTCAATCAATCCTGCAGCTTGTGGATAGTGTATGAAAAACCCACTGAATATTTTGCTGCTCAGCATATTGGTGCACAAATTTCTTCCAAAAATGAAACCCATTGTCGCTTTGAATCTGCAATGGAATTCCGTAGTACAAAATTATGAGATCTGTAGTGCAGATGGTGCTATGGTGAGTAACTTTCTTACAAGGATGGGCAATCACATATCCAGAATATGTACCTCCAGCAGTACAGATGTATGTACACCCTCAGTCCTGGGGTAAAGGTCCAATGTAATCCATTTGCCAAATTTATCCTGGCAGTTTTCCTCTCCTCAATGGCCCTTTTACAATATTTGGCACTGGGTGTTTGTGAGTGTGTTGGCACACAGAGCATTGAGCAATTATAGTTTTGATCATATCAAGTGACATTGCTATGCCATGCTCTTGGGCCCACCTATAAGTGGCTTTTTTTCCAAGATGCCAACACTTTTGGCATGCCTATTTCACCAAGCATTCATGGTCTTCCTTCTGAGGGAATTCCAGTCTGGCTTGGGAAATTTTTGCCCACTTGTCTGCAACAGAGTTATAAAGTTGTTCTAAAATATTTGAAGCTCTGCATAGGCTCGCCAGTCCTTCTGCACCCGTTGCAGTGGAGTTTGTCTGTCATTTCATTCTTTTTTATTATGCTGAGCTATTTCCCTAGTCTCTTTCCCCAGATACAAGTCAGAGTATGGCTCCCAATCCTCCTCCTCCCCTGGAACAGCTGATCCACCCACAGGGGCCCTCCACGAGCAGATGTGAAGTCCCATTGAGGCTCCAGAGGAGGTGCTGTAGGCTGAGTTGTTCCTGAGTCTTTTGCCGTAGAATTCTACACTTTCTTGCTAGGTTTATTCAGCCCCCTCTGTTTATAAATCCTCCATAATTCATGGGTTTGAACACCACCAATCTTATCATGAGACATACCATCTTTTAATAAAGCTGTAAACATTTGCCTTCGAGAAATCCTATCTTTGCTACTTTTAGGATTGTCTCGAGTATCGCAGTTTGCTGCACTTCCTCACGGGCTCCGTTCTCCGAGGTCACCTAGCTGCTGTACATTTTTGATCACTGCGTTGAGGGGATTTCCTGTCTCATTAATCTAAAGAGTCATCATCACATTTTTATATGCTGGTGAAGCAGTCCTAGTCAGTCTATTTCTCATACCAACAGACAAAGCATTCCGCATCATAATCAGCTTCCCCTATAAAAATGTCTAGTTTCATCCCTTTTTCTTTCATTCACTGTATACAATTTCACAGAGTATACCACTGACACTGGGATTGTGGCCAGTTATTTTCAGAAGAGTATTTATTATTGCATCCCTGAGTGGCCCAGACTACCAAATTATTATCTTGAGCATTGCTTCGAAATGCATCTTGCACAAAGGAATCTGAACTCAAAAGCAATTTTTAAAATCACCTGCACCCAGAGTAACCCCTGATGCTCCCTGATCATGCAAATGCACCATCCAGGAAAGCAGAAGCTGCCCTGGTCTTTGTTTAAATCGCTCAATTATGTCCTTTACCTCATGCTGAGTATAATCCTCTATCACATCCCTTCTCACCTGCTGTCCATTAACATCTAACTCCATTTTGCATCTCTGTGCTGGTCTCACATCTACAAATTCCTCTGGGGAACCAGCCTCATCAGAATCTGTAGAATCCCAAATATCTCCATCTCGTTTATCATGATCCCGTTGTACACCTGCTTCTGCAATCACTGAATGCACTTTCTTGTGATTCACTCATCCCCTCCTTTTCTTGTACTACACAACCTGAACGACAGCCTTTTTGGCTACACTCTGGTAAGTATCCAGTTTATCAACAAGCAGTTTGCCACTGTAACATTATAACTTGATTCTGCAGATCACAAATCTGTTGCTCCAGGTGAGAGCCCTCTGACAATTATTCTTTCATTTGGTGCTGCTTTCGATAGACTGTTAACAAAATCCATCCTCGTCTTCCGAAGCCCACAATTTCTTTTCTTTTTTCAACAGGCAATGTTAGGATACATTTTTATACATCCGAAGCTTCAGCTTCTTTCAACCAACTTTCCCACTGTTTGCAGTCCTCTGACCTTACTCCACTCGACAGCCAGTGAACTATAAGGAATGCTGGGAATGCTAGGCAGAGCTGATATATAGAGAGAGATTTAAAAAGCAACATTTTGCACCAATCCTATTTGTGATGCTAATTTTGTTTTGCTAGTTGACAGGGTCAGCAAAAAGAACACAGCCACCAACAGAAGGATACGGTTATTTTACTACCTATTTTACAGTATCGCAGAAGCATACTCTAGTTTTGAGCAGCAGAGAAAATAATCATTGCTACATAAGGTTAGCCATAGTGATTAAGAAAGTTACATCATTAATTGCCCTAATACTTTAGTATCATCCAGATCCTCAGTCACCGGGGAGTCCCGGTTGCAGTGAGGATTTGGAGAACCTGTCCCGACAATTGGGAAGTCCTGCACAGTGCGTCCACTTAGAGGCGAGGCCTCCAGAGTCACTGCCAGAGGGTCTAGCTTTTATATTGTTGAATAAACAAGCTTTCATAGTTTCAAACACAGGAACATCTGGTTTCATTCCCCATTGGATTTTCGCCAAAGCCTGGCCAGGGCTCAAGGAGGAACTCAAGGGAGTTGCTCTGTTTATTTGTCTTTGACCACACGTTCGACCAAGGCCGACCACCTGGTTTTATGGCCTTGACAACCTGCCTGTAAACAAGGAAAGATTTTTTTTTTTTTCTGATGACATGTTATCTTCATTAATGATAGTGTTTTATCTAAGTTGCATCTTTTGCTAATGATCATACATACTTCACTGCTGAGCGGATACTAATATTATATAACATTTGGTGTGGGCAGTCATCTAGAGGCTAACTTAGGTTTTGAGGCTGACTGTTCAGGCCTCAGTACTTCATGTGCTGAGATCTGGAGGAGTGTTCATCTTAGGAGCAGAGGATACGCCCTCTGGGGATGTTTGTCTTCCCACTGTAAGGGCCAAGAGAAATAGCTCAGACTTAGCTGTCCACTCACAGACACTTGGTTAGGATGGAATTCCGCTCTTGCTGACAGCCTCAGGAGTTGCGATGAGTGAACATGCCTGAACTGAATTAAGTTTCTGGGGTTAACCTGGCTGTTTTTCCTCTTTATTATTGCTAATAGACTTCAGACTCTATGGCTAGTAACAACTCGTACTGCCACAGTACTCAGACATTAAAACTAACCTCCTAGTCATTAGCTTGGGAAAATAGAAAGGAAATTGAACTGAAAACCTGATACAAAGGCATTGGAATAAATAAGAGGACTTTCAGTGATAGGCTATGGCACTGGAGAATTTGTTAAAATTTTACTCTTGAAACCAGGCACTGTGACCTCAAGGCAAGTGATTCAAATCTACAGAATTGAACAGGAACCAAAGATGTGAATCCTTGACAGGTAATGAGAAAAGTTTCCCCTGCCTATAATTTGATTTGCTTTGCTCAAGTTAAACCAATGATGTGAATCTCTTGTTTTCATACAGTCATCCTCCATTTTTTGGAGAGGTCAATGTGAACATCTGTGACACACTTGATTGTCACTACTGACAACCAGATTTGGCACCAGATGTTTAATAAGTATGCACTACTAGAGCCTACTAGGCACTAGGAAGCAGGGATGGAAAGGAAATCCTCCATTCTCATCTCCTGTTGCGCTTCTTCCATTAGCTGCTCTTCCAAGAGGACCTGCAGATCACACACATGTACTCTGCTGCAGAAGAAGAGGTGGAGCTCTTTCTTCTGATGTGTCCCACTGATAAAGTGGAGGACTGGCTGCTGGAAGTTGAGAAATCCATGAAGGCCAGTATATGGGACAACATAGAAAGATCAGTTGGTGTTTATCACAGCCTCACTGCATGTGAGGCGTGCTCCTGTCCAAGGAGTGCAACTCTTGATCTAACACCTATTTTCTAGTCCTGTGAGAAAACCTGTCCACCCTGTTGTGTTACCTCATCCTTTCTTCTCTCAAGAGAGAAATTCCTTGATATGCAGGTCTTCAGACCTCCAAGCTGTAGTCTTAGGAGATGCTGTATTGTCTGCCAGCCAATGTTTGTCTTTCTGATATCATGTTCATTCATCACTAGATACTACTGGACGAGGAGGGAACTGTAGATCAGAGCAATCCATGCTGAATTTATCTATGGCTGTGAGTACCTGGGGAACAATGGCCATCTGGTTATCACACCCCTCACTGACAGGTAAGGAGATAGTTTTCTGGGTAATAAATATCTCTCTTTTTCTTTTTTTCTTTTCCTTTTCCGTTTTCTTTTCCTTTTCCGTTTTCTTTTTCTTTTCATTGAACGAGTCTAACTGGGGATTAAACCAGGAATCTGACCATGACAGTCTTACTGCTTAACATATGTAAATAGAAATAGTTTGTACAGTAAAGGACTACCTGAGACAGGGCATAGAAACACCCTAGCACTGGTTCTACTCTGTTCTTAGTAATTGGTGCTCAGACATTGCTTTCACTCTCCTAAGTCTTTGTGTAGTGCTCTGACTCGTATGAAGTGCCCACCTAATAGCTAAAGAGCTCTTTTACAAACCAGAAGATAGGGGCATCTAATACTGTAGAATATGTAGCAGCAATAATAGTTTGTAACTGTCCTTTTTCTGGAGAGTGGATTTGTAGCTGGTGGCAGAAGGATTTATCTGTGCAGGCCCCCATGAATACTAATCAAGGCCACATAGCTAACTCGTCTGCAGAATGCTGCATATCTA